GAGAGGGGCTTTGGTTTGGTTTTTCACAGAAATATTCTTTCTTCAACACAAGCACTACCTTTTATTAATTAATGCACACTTACAACTGCAAAGCACAGCTATCTACTCTGCTATGTTAGTTGTATTTTGCATTTGCAAAATGAGGGTAGTGAGGCACTGGAACAGGTTGCCCAAGGAGGCTGCGGATGCCCCATCCCTGGAGGCATTCAAGGTCAGGCTGGATGTGGCTCTGGGCAGCCTGGTCTGCTGGTTGGCGACCCTGCATACAGCAGGGGGTTGAAACCAGATGATCATTGTGGTCCTTTTCAACCCAGGCCATTCTATGATATGCTTCTTAGAAGGATACAGGGAAAGGAATGCACAATTTTTTAACCTTTTCATCTCCAAACCTAGGAAATTTTCAGACAAGTTAATCTCTCGCATGACATTATCAATAAGAACTACAAGTTTAATGCTCTTTAGCTAAGATGTTGAACAAATTGTGCGTATTAAACTCAAGCAGGAAATGCACAGCTTCAAGCACTTGCAGATGAAAAGCATCCTGCCTATTCCATCCTGATGGACATGTATTTGGAAATCCATTTATTTGCTTCCCTTCCTCCAAGATCAGAGTGACAACGTAGTTCCAAACCCTCACCCCCACTCACAAACTCTGTTCCCATCTTGACATTCCATCACTGCATTTGCACTGTTCAGGCTTGTACTCATCCTCCCAAAGCTCAAGATAGTTTTCAAACGAGCCTTCAAAAACTTGCTGTGATCCCAGTTTTGGCAGACAGCTCTTGTCACATGTTTCGTTACTTTGGTCAGAAGTCCCCATCCCAAACAGCCAAAAAGTGAAGAAGAGGAGCAGCCTCCAAATATGGAGAGTCACGCTGGTTTGTGGAGAAGTTCAGCACATTGGCATGTGTAAGAATGAAGAGAACTGGAACAAGTGCTAAAAAATGCTCCAAATAGAACGTGGCGAAATGTTCAGAACTTCCAACTACTACAGAAAATTGTGAAATGGATTAAAAAAACCAAACGACTAACAGCCCATTAGTAAATATACCCCTAACATGTTGGTTCTAGCAACAAAAGTGTGCTTTAACTCTCTGAAATCATTTCCAATGAAACAAAGTTTAAGCATAAGTCCTTACCATAACATTTTATTAAGACAGAGTCAATTTATGCCATCAAAAATGAACAATGAGTTTTTTCAATCACACTGGACACTGACTTGCAGGAAAAAACTGAATCTTAGACCAAGTCACATAATTCTTCCGTTCATAATGAAGACTTTTATTTCTCCCTGCTGCTGTTGGATGCTGTTTTCAGGTGGTTTCTCAAAATCCATGCTATATCACAGTATTCTGTGTATTGATTACGAGGCCAATTACAAAGAGTTCTAAAACTTCAGTAACATCAATCAACAATAATTAGGCCCTTAACAAATTAAGAAATAGTCATGTACGCAAGTCTTTAAATGGGAAAGTGTAAGAAATATCGAATTCTGGAAGCACACAAGGCTGGCCCTCACATGCCAGGTACTTCATATGCACAAGTCAAGACCATCTCTCTCATTGGGCCAGTATTTTCTTCCACATTCATAGCACACAGCACCTGTTAGAATACCATTCCCATTCTCTTGTCCTCCATGTTATAAAGAAATGAAAGTGAATTTGGTGCTCACCTGTTTGACAAAGGAGTGCTTGAGGCTATATGCCCAACTGTTGCTGCGTTGCTGTTCCATACAAAGATTTGAGCTATTTTATTTGTTTTTAGGGAACTCTCCTTCCTGCCAGAACCCTTTTTTAATGTCTGCCATGAACAAAAGAGTATATACTTTGACCTCGTGTACCTTGGAAAATAATTTGTGATCTCACCATGCTACCTTACAAATCAAAGTAGCAAATTATGGTAACTTTTGAATCCTAAAATATTGTAGCACATATCTAAAAGGAATCAAAACTATAAATTGCATAAAGACTTCAAATTGCTTGCTGTTACACAAGTTTAATGACTTCCTTGACAACAACATGTAAACCCTCCTTAAAAACAGTGCATTGAAGAATGCTTATTGAAATACAATTGCTGTGCAGGAGAATCTTTTAAAAAAACAGTTGCCATTTTGTATGTTGTGCTTCTGCGTTCTTTAAAAATACACCAAGTAGTCCACAGTTAGCAAAATATATTTAAGCTATGAATTGTAAGCTTATGTAATAAGCTGCTTTAATGGGAGAAAACTTCTTATTAGGAAAAAGAAAACACTCATAGCTGGAGAGTTGGGAGCGGTTCTCCAAGGATGCCATGAGGCTCCTGGCTTTTTAGACAAACCTCTGGCCCCAAAGGGGCAGATTTTCATAATGTGTTGTAGAAGCCCTTGGCAAATGACATCATATTCATTAAATTTAAATGGAGACGCTTGATGTTTTCTGTAAAGATGTCCCAGGGAGTCAATTTTCAAGGAATTCATAATGTAAGCAGCAAGTTATTGGAGAAGGAGACATTCATCACCTCGGAAGGCTCCAAATGAATCATTTAGAGAAAGAGGTGGCATGACACATTTCGGCATTTTCCTTGTGGTCTCCACGAGGCCCTGTGCCAGACACACACCCCAATAACAAGAGAGGCAACCTGTGCAGCCACGTGCTGCAGGCACTGCATTTCCTCAGGCACTTTCTACTTTCCAATGGAAGCGCTTAGTTTAATCCTTAAAGTTAATGCTACAATGTCAGAAGGACTGAAAGAGCAGAGGTGACAAGAGCCTGAAGCTCTTGGCTTCTGCCTGACATCTGCCTCACACCTAACGGTAGCTAACCCATCTGTTGAACTCCCATTTTCTTTTTCCTTTTCTTTAATGTGTTTCACCCTGACACTGATCCTGCTTGCAAAGGAGAAGTGAACAAAGCATCCTATTACAAAAAGAATCTACTGCATGCTGGGCAAACAGAGCCTTTAAAATCAGAATCCTGTCCTACCAACTTCAGCTTCCTGTTGTTGGGTTGTTTCTGTGTTGCGGGCTTTTTTTTTCCTTTTTTTTTTCTTTCAGCAGTGAAATCTACCCAACATTCCTTCTATTTGGTTCTCTTCACCACACAGCAGATATATAGAATCATAGACTCATAGAATCATGAATTGGAAAGGACATTTAAAGGCCATCTGCTCCAACTCCCCATTCAGTGAGCAGGGACACCCGTGGCTCCATCAGGTGCTCAGAGCCCCATCCAGCCTGACCTTGGGTGTCCTCAGGGGACAGCCACATAGCAACCACCAAACATCCTGCTTCTAAGTCTGAAGCAAAGGACCATCCCAAGGAAGTTCCTTCCCTTTGAAATGTTGGGCTTTGTTTAAATATAACGTGCCCAGAAGATTTTAAGAAGCTTACTTTTAAACTTGCCAGCATTTAGCTATGGACAGTACTTCTCTGTCGTGAATATCAAAGCCTGATCTATGTTGCCACATGGGCTGCTGCCTGGGCTGCATTAGAAGCATGGTCAGCAGGTTGAGGGAGTGATCTGGATGGGGCTCTGAGGACCTGATGGAGCTGTAGACATCAGTGTTCACTGCAGGGGAGTTGGATCCGTTGGCCTTTAAATGTCTCTTCCAACTCAAACAATTATAGGATTCTATGCTATAAATTCCATTGTAAACCCACTACAAAAATCTCTGCAGACTAGACACTGGTACACAGGATGGAATGTACTGATACTTACATAAGCACTGCACAGACAATGTCCTCACTTGGACTGTGCTGAGCGTGGTAGTCTTCCATCATCGCTATTCAATATACAGAACAGACAAGAGAGTTACAGCTTCCTTTAAAAGATAGTCTTACTCCTCTCCCACAAAACGGCACTAATACAAAATAATCCAACGTTTAATTTATTAATGTGGAATGAGAGATGAGATTTGTTCTTCATCATCATTATTTATAGCTTTACTAACACATCCAGTGCTATACAAAAGGGCAATGTATCCCAAGTGAGCTTCAGCCAGACCTTGCACAGCACTCCCCTAACAACAGATTAAACAAAATAAGAAAATGAAATCCTGACTTTTAGTCTGTACATTTCCATAAAGAATTAACTAAATAAGTTTAATATTTATATATCTGAAGAGAGACAAATTGTTTTTAATGGTTCCTCTTTGTTTACGTCTAGGTATTACAATTGCTTTTTAACTGTTAGCTTATATTTAAAATATCCTTGAAATACTGTTATCATGGATTAGAAATGTTAAGTAGTAAAAACTCGAAAACCAAGTCCATGCTGGGAAAATGGGAAGCTACCTAATCAAGCTGGGATCTTACCTGTCAATAGAAGTACAGTTGGTATCAACTAAGCAACATCACGCTTCTGAAGCACAGAAATAGCATTGGATCCATTTTCAGATGGGCAATGGACCTGAGAATGAAGTCACCATCTGCGAATTACAGATGGAAACTGCCTTTCAGTACGCAGCACGGTGCTTCCAGAAACCTCCCTTCCTTCTCCATCCTCATTCCTTGTCCGCTCACCCATTAAGAAAGCTGCATAGCCAGAAAGAATGGGGTAACATAGGTGATGGAGATCTGCAGAACCAAGCATGTGTAAGTACACATACATCTCAAAATTTGACTCTCATTTGCAACAACCATCCTCTTTCATGAATCCTGAAAGGGAAGAACCCTTTCTAAGCCTCTTGTCAAGCCCATAGTAATACGACAAAGGATTCCGCCATGCTGCCAGAGCAAGAAAAGGAGCTGCATCCAACCAAAATTCAAGCCTCCTCAAGGGACTCGCTGAATTACACCTAAAATTCTCCTCCTGAGCACCTGCTATCCTAACAACTACTGAAGAGAGCAGAGGCTTCCTTTGTTTGCTGCCCTGTATTTAACATTCAGTTTATCAGCCTTAAGGAAACAGCATTCTCTAAGGCTGACACTCTCAAAAGCATGGTTCTTGCAAACACATATGGAAGTGGAACTTAGAAGTTACATTTTTTGCATATGCAGATTAAGATCACAACTCAAACAGTACTGTGGTAGTGCACTGTGGTGCTTTATTAGTGTTAGACATGCAATATTGTTTTAATGGACAGAAATTAAAATACTGAGATAACATTGTAATCAAATTAAAGAGCTGAAGTTGCAATAATGAAACAAAAATAAAGTTTTTTCATGCATCCTAGGTTTACAGTTCTCACATGTGCATATAGTTGTGATTCTGTACCATTATTAAATGTAGACAAAGTACCATTGATTGCACAAGACAAAATTAACCCCTAAGGTAGAATCTTTTACAGACTTCCTATATAACCTGGATCTTCAGTTTTTTACAGCATATCGTAACACAAGACACCTGGAAGCTTCTAAGATGAATAGGAATGGCTCTATCACTTGTAATATACAGTGGCTGATGAACAAATTGTGAAAGGCAAAGTAAACGCTCTCTATGCTACAGGAGGTTGTGACTTTTTCCAACAGAAACAAATCTCAAAACCCTTCATAAACAGATTAAAGTGCTACCTATTGCATATTAAATACTTCCAGTGCCTGTATGCAGATTTAGAAGTTATAAATTCCTGAAAATAGTGTCTCAAACTGAAGGTGCTGACAGACCCTTACATCTAGCATCATGAATGCAGCAGCACTATTATCCTTCATCACGGACTTCAAAGAGAGGAAGTTAGGTAACATGCTTCACATATCACCATTTTAAAATCACAGAGCTAACAACTCTATCATATCAGCAACAGTAATGGATACATAAACAGCAAAAAAGCATACTTTACATACTTAATATAGGACAATATTTTTTCTTTAAAGCTGGAAGTGTAAATAAGCCTCCAGTGCAGCAGTAAACATATTAAGACAACAGTTGTTTTTAGATGCATCTAAGAAAGGGCATCCTCTAGAGAAAGAAATGCAGACTAGTACCTAATGAGCCTGAGTTTCATTAGGTCCCCACATCATAAAGCCTTTCTAAATGCAAGGCAACATTTTCACAGCTGGAAAGTTACAAATAGTTCTTGATACAGAGCCAACAGCAATAAATGTAGCTATGTATAATCTAGGGAGAATGCTACATTCATTAGTAGGTGGAAAACCAAGCTAAACATAAAATACAGCAGCACGAGGTAACATATATAAATATTAAACATCCTTCCAGGACGGTAGAAAGTAAATGTTACTTACAAAACTAAAATACAGCCTTGATATTTGTTCTCTGAAGTAAGGAAAGTACATTGCTATGAGCAGAGATGTTTGAAAGGAGAATTTTCAAGTACAGGGTGTGCACGGATGAACTTTCATTCTTACTTTTGACAGAAGAGACCAAAATAATGTGCCCCAAGTTCTCATCCCTACATTTCAGAGGGCAAGAAAGACTAATTGTAAGTGGCAAGTTATTATAATTTTTAAATGATCTGTCGGAGAATTTACAGTTTTGTCCTACTGGAGAAACAGAACTTACTTTGTTTTCAGCATATAAATCACTCCGTTTGAAATGTTTTCATTTGAAAGCTGCATGCTCCATCAAATACAGGTGGGATGAAGGTGTACTTCAAAAACAGTCTCAAAAATGTAGAAAAATGTTAAAATTTTCATTTTAAGCAGAAAATGACAGGTGTGCAATTTTTCCAAAATTGCCCTAGAAGAGCTTATATCTTTAGCCATAAGAACTCCATATAAAAATTCAGAGTTGAAATTCCCGTCCCTTCTGGTAACTTCACCCTTTCCTAAATTGCATTTGTCGTTCTCCTCTCTCTCTTGATACACTGCTGGAAACAAAAGGTGCATTTATTCCCCCACAGATCAGATAAAGACGAGATAGCGCATTCAAAGCTTCACTAAATTTCTTCACTAATGCACAAAAATTGATCTTTTCGCTACCTTTAATCTGCTTATCGTGGTCGGTATGCAAATATGTCAAACGATCTGCTTTTAGTCAATTATGCAGTTTGATATTCTACATTTACATTCTAAAAGGAGTGATTTCAGAGGTGCTAAATATAGTAGAGTTTCATTTTAATAATTATAAGTTGGCTTGCAAGTGAAAAGTCATTGGAGTGTATTTACTTGTTAAACCCCACTGGTGTGTATGGTTTAATCGTTATGGATACTACACACTGCCTCACGTGTACCAGTCAGTTTGAAAATGACTGTTGAATTCAAGACAATTGCACAACTCCTCCCCGTTAACAATATGAGAAAACCACTTGCCTTAGCCAAACATGGAAAAATGTTCAAGAACTTGCATGGAAATACTGCGTATCTGAAATACATCTTGGTGTAATTAGGAAATAAAAATGAGTGCAAAACTAACTTCCAACAGTAAATGTACCATAACTTGTATATAACCTTTGGCACTTCGAATATATTACAGCAAATTTACAGTCATACAGACCTTAAGTGGGTCAGAAAGACATTCATGTGGTTTACAAGATACAGAACTTGATAAATCTTTTGGCTGTCAATGGAGAAATCACTTGATGAAGTGGGCCTGTTTCTTTGTCTCAAATGACTGAGGCTTCGTCCAGGCAAAATGACCTGCACTGGTGGATCCCAACACAGGGCTGAGAATGCTCAAACTGCATGAAGTTTAACATTAGGGGTTTGGGAGATAGCTCCTAAAAATGGGAGAAAATAAAAAAATGAGCGCGAAAAGAAGGAGAAAAGAATAAAAAGTAAGAAAATGAAATGTGGGAATGATTGTACCAAATTATTTTTTGTCTAAGAAGTATATTCCTTTGCTGTCATATAAAGCTAACATTGTCAAAAGTATTCAGACAGTAGATCCATTTCATCTCTTCCAGATAATAGTTATTTAAGATAATCTTTGTGGCTTTAAAAACAAAAAAACAGATTTTTTGCAGCATGAAAAAAAAGAGGAATGTTATGCTTTTTTCTTTCTCAAAACAGCTATTACTGTCGTTATGTAAGAAAACAGATCAGGCGTAGAAAGAAGAGGTGAAAAGACAGTCATTCTTTTAAAATCCAAATCTAAAATATTATCTGTACCTTTTTTTTTTGTTCTACTAGTTTCTTACTGTTTCACAGCAATAGAAAATCCAACTGAGGCTCTTATGAAGGAAATTAAAATCTACCTACATTAATATTGTAAGGATTCTTCTCCTACACTATTTTGCCTTAATATGTTTATCACCTTATTTAGCCATTTTATTGAATAACAGATATCCTTTTCATCTGTCATCTTACAATTATTAAATGATCAGGAAGACTTGTACAACATTCTTTCATTTGCCTCAAAGAGAACTGAAAGTACTTATAAAGAATACAAACCTTTCTAAAAAAATAAACTAAATTGAACCTCTTCCCCTAGACATGTTTCAGCAACACAGCCTATTTCTAAAGGCTTATATTTTGTTCTCATAAGTTTAAAAAAACCTAGGAGATAGAGATCACGTTAAACTCAACCTTAAATTCAGTCAGTTCTACATTTTCAGAATTACCATGTCTTTTTAATTCAGTCTGTTCATTTCTCCTATACTTTTACTGTAGCAGACCTTGGCTGAACAAAGTACTCTTACCTTATTCCAACTTTTCTTCCATCCTACTTCTGACTCTATTAACACTGTTCAAAGTACTTTAATGCATAAAAAAAGCATGCAATAACTTCATACAAAAAGATCTGCAAAATAATCCCATGTAATGAGTTCGCCACCAAAGTTCAATCGTTATACACAAAAAATCTGCACTTAAGTGTAAATTAACTCATTCCCACATGTGCCATTAGTGAAATGGCATGGTATTGTTCACATTGCCATACAAAAGCATACTGCATACAGTACAGCATTTACTCTGTAAAGATTGTGCATCACTGTTTTCCTCTGTGTGTAAAACAAACTGCATTCCATTGCAACAAGCCACGCTTAGATTCTACACTGGCTTGAAAACAGTGGCCTTAATGGCATGCCATAATACCAGAATTGACATATTTGCATAATATTAATTATCAGTCAAGAAAACATTCAAAAAAGCACAGGGTATCCCAGCTGATGCTACATGGACAGTGTGGACACAGACACTGCATTCATGTGTGTTATTTACTCTACAGTAAATATGCTGCAGCTAAAGTTGTTCTCCAAAAGGAAAAATAAACAAACTTGTTCAGCTAACCCAATGAAGTACCATTTTGGCAGTACCTGCAAGTGTTTCGAATTAAAACCAAAAGTCAAATAGCAACACCAAAAACTTCGCCACAGTCCCATCCTCCCAATGTCTGGAATTTTTTTTAGAACAAAAAGGAATGAAAAGAAGTCAAAACGTTGAAATGTTATTTCCTTCCACTACCGTACTCAGCAGAAAGTCCCACCAAGTGTCACCATCTTAGCTTTTGGAGAATTTGCCAGCCTTTCGAGAAGGTTCATATGGCACTCTGAGAATACTGGGTGTTTCTTCCATCACTCGTACAAGAAGATTATCAATGTAATCCTCCAGTTCACGAATATGGCTGTCCTTCTTCTTAAGCTGCTCTTTATGTTTCAGCAGCTCTTGTAAAACCTCCTCGTAGGTGAGGTTCCGGTATCCTGCAGTGGCGTCAAAAGGATTTCCATCCTACAGGTAGGAAAAAAGAACAAAAATAAACAGGTAGGAAAACAAACAAAAGAAAAGGAAACAAAACCCACCAGATTTAATTAATCAGTTTTCAGAACCGAACAGGTTGGCAGGTTGCTTTTCATATATTTCTCATGTACACCTTGACACAGGACATTTTTCTTATATTATGTTCCTTCTCTTTTCACTCTAGAGCTTTTCCCTCCAATATCCCTCCCGGAGCAAACAGCTGGCGATACGTTGCCCAGTTTGAAATGTTTCCCACACTAACACATCAGAAAAAAAAACCAACGCTGTTCTCAGAAAGATGTGCACACATTTTGTGAACATCTGAGCAGTAACCCCAGCAAACTGTTAGTGGGACCTTTTGGGAAACCCACAATAAGGTAACATTAATTACAGCAGAAAAAGAGCCCTGAGAATTCCGGCCCTACCGTAACTTTCCTGAGTTCTCATCTTTAGAGAATATTATAGCAAAACATTTACTTAGCTTTAAATGACATCAGCCCTCATCTGTCTTTCATATTCTATTTTTAGTCACCAGCAGCTTGCCAGGCCTTGGTCTCTGAAATATACATTACAGCTTCCAATTTTACATTTCAGGTGAAGTTAAGAAGACCAGAGTACTTAAGGCAGAAATGTGTACTGCTAGAACACCTTGCTGCGTTGCTGCCTACAAAGCAGAAAGGGCACAGAAAGCAGCAGAGGAAACAGCAGTGTTTTGCTATTGATTTCTGATGGCTGTGGATGCAGTTATCACCAAAAATGGGCAAATTGGTCCCTGTAAGAAAGGTCAGGAGGCAAACCAAAACACTATAATGTCCTATTCTATGTCAAGAAGATACAGCTGAGATCTTCAGTAACCAGATAATGAAATATTTGGCAATTTATAATCTAGAAAAAGATTGCTTCTTCCCATACAGCTCCATACTGACACGTTGGCATGTCAAATCATGAACATATGCAGGTGCCCAGAGTTTTCAGCAAAGCCTTGCAAGAAAAGACGGAGCACTGCAAACATGCTGAAGTACCACAGATCAATCAGTCACTCTCCATCAATTAGATTTTAATAGCAGCTCTTCAAATTAGGTGCTTTTAAGGATTTCTCACTGCATTCGAGATGTTTCATAGCACATTCATGTACGTGTATGTAGTATTTTGAACTTCTATTATCAAGTGACAGCATTTGACGTGATCAATAAGTGCCATTTTACAAAAATGCTCACCTTGATGAAATCCATAAATTGGTTACTAATTGATTTCCAACAAGTAGAGAAGAGGAAATAACTTTACTTTGTGGTCATTCTATTTTTAGCACATTTTCTTCCATAAGAAGGAAGCTAAATTTTATCTTCAAAGAATTAGGGATTTAGGGTTCTTTTTTTTTTTTACACACTAGAAAATAAATTAAGACTTCAATGTATGAAATACAGAGTTTGCTTAATTTTCTGATTTGGCAAAGGAAGAGGAAAGAATATGCAATGATGTTTTTAATCATTATATAAAGTTTACTGGAAAATCATGTACAATACATATGCTTTAAAGATGTTTTGCCACACATATGCTCGCTACTTCTGTGTGATCTTCTGTGTGAATAACTTATCAAATTAAACACACAAGAAAATTCTACAATGCTTTTCGTATTTAGAAATAGATACTGCTAAAGGAAGGAAGATTTTAAATGTCCAGTTTGAGTAAAGGGTACTTAAACGCCTATATACTTACAGAAACAGATACTAAAAATGTAATATAATACATTAATCTTATGGTAAAGTGTTAAAGAACACGTTGCAAATAATGAGTTTGCAAAGGTGTATTGCCTCAGCTGTAAGACCCTGTTGAGGCACAGACTGACAGCCAGAGGAGATGGAGGAAGAGGAGTCAGACAAAGCGATGGCCTGGCAATCTCTGATCATCTCCATATTTAATGAGGAATTCTACTCTGGGAATATAATCTATACTCTTTTCACATCTTTTGTCCTACTTACTTCATCCTCCTTTCAGTTCTTAATTAGGCCTTAAAGAGCTCACGCTGCCCTTTCAACTGGCTACTGCTCCCATTTAAGCAGTGCTGTCAGAGACAGGTGTTGGCACCAGAGTGGGAGACACACAAACATAATTACTCAATGCGATGCGCAAGGAAAAAATGCAATGAATTGCTGAGGCCTATTATTGCAGAACCTAACAATAAATTACTTCAAACACCTCAGAAAGCAAACTGGAGTATTTAAAAAAAAAATTTCAAATGGTTTCATTCAAAACTGCAGTTGTGATATATTTTCTTCTCCTAATTTGTATTTTGTATGAAATGAGCACCCTCATAATCCTGCAAGCTGACATTTAGAATAGCTGCTATTCCAAAAGAAAAATCATCAAGGATTTCTTTTATCACCTTTAAATCCTTTAAATAAAACAACTCACATATTACTTCTTAAAAGAATTATAAATGCGCTTTTACCAGCAATAATTTACACAATTTCCAGTAGCACATTTGCAAGCACGCAGAAACTGTAATTACGGTTACTTTACAGACAATAGCTGCAAAGTTAAATCAGTTTTTTTGATGTTGTGTTTTGTCAGAGATTAAGTAACCGCCTGGTAGAATTCAGTTTACTATCTGATCAAAGGCAGCATTCATACACGCTGACATCTCCCACCAGTTCCTTGCATTAAAAAAAACTTGGGTGTTTATAATAACATCAAATATTATTAAAAGACATTTACATAAACCAGCAAAAGCAAACAGTACAAAGTCTTATTTCCCTGTGAAACTTGTTTTCTATGTATTGTAAAGATTGAAAACAAACCCACTTTTAAAGATTTGATCTATTCACAGAATAACTTTGAGTACGACCACATTTTCTTCCAAACAAAGATGCTGCATAGTCCATCTGTGGAGTTTGTTTTGTCTTTTCTTCCTAGTACACAGTTTTAGGTACTCTTACAATAAAAGAATATTTTGAATAATAACTTTTAGTATTTATTTCTATTGTAAGTGTTTTCTGCAAGGCTGCTCATTTATTATTTTTATGATGAATCCTGCCATGTATCAGCTCATTACTTCCATTTGGATTGGCCATCTAAAAGCAGTCCTCCAATCTCAAAGCCTGGCAATAGAAAACACCTGTGATGATGGCTAATGGACAGCTGCCGAATGCAGGGCTCTCATCTGACCGCATTTCTCTAGAGCTATCTGCAGATAGATCTCAGAGTTTCTTGTTGCTCTCCCTGTATAGATCTAATTTTCCCTTTCTTTTCCACATTGTAATATTAGAGGTTATCCAAATATTTTGCACATTGAGTACAAAACTCTTCTTTATTTCCAAGTTTGTTTCAGTTTTCTTATTTTCCAATTAGATTTTCTGGAAATATGAATAGAAAGCAAGACAAAATCACAGAATCATAGAATGGCTTGGATTAGAAGGGACTTCCAGGATCATCACATTCCAACCACCCTGCAACAGGCAGGGCTGCCAACCTCTACACCTAAAACTAGACCAGGCTGCCCAGGGCCCCATCCAATCTGGCCTTGAACACCTCCAGAGACAAAACAAACAAGCAACAAGCATTTCCTTATAAGAAGTTAAAAAAGAATCCTAGCTTACATTGTACTGGGCACCAGTTAGTTGGTATTTGCTGATAGCTTTCCATAACACTTCACAACTCACCATTGTTTTCCTGAGGTCCTCAGTGCCAGAAGGATTCACGTTAAAACTGCGGAGGAAAAACAAACAAACATCAACTGTGCACACATATTTGACCAAAACTTCTACTAGAAATTACTACCGAACTGAGGGAACTAGCTGCACAAGGTATTTATCGTGACTTATTTTCCTGACTTGTCAGACTTTGAATAACTAGGACGATATTTGAAATTAGATGAAATTTTCGTATACTCTCCGTCCACAATTTTTGATATCCTCCTGTCATAAAATCAGAGTAAGCAGCATAAAGATGTTACAGATTGGGCTCCTCCAGCAATTTGATTATTTCTAGACGTATTTTATACTTCTAAGTATAAAAGAAATACTTCATATGAATTATTCTGGGAATAGATTCTGGGATGAGGTAGTTAAAATAAAAACACAACAAGAAAAAGGCTAACATTCATTGCCAACTTTCATGGAAGCTGCCAAAGGAAAAATTCTCTCCTTTGAGAAATTCCACTGAGGTCACCAGGTTCAGTTAGAACTAAAAAGTTACCTTGTATTAACCACATTTGCTTTATGCCTATAATTGAGTTAATAAGCTATTATTTTATAAACTCAGTGATTATCCCACGAATTCGGAAAGCAAAGCTATTTCATGATTGTGTTGTGTGAAGATAATTTTCGTCCTCAACTGCAAAAATGGCAGTAGATATTGATAAAAACAGCCATTGTCAAAGTGTCAGACCCAAGAAACAGACACTGTCCATGGAAGTTGATGTAATTATTTGCAAGTCTCCTCAAAAAACATTGCTGCCATGTCTCATGTATTTGCTATAGCAAATTTTGAGAGAAAATTAAGTCTCAGAGAGAATGCGCTCAGAATTTGGATATGATTCACCAATAATACTTCCCTGGTAGCACCATAGTAGGTGTCATTCTTTCACATCACAAAACCTACCATTTACTCAAGTTGCATGTATTGGCTGTCAAAGATGATCTCTGCTGAGAGAGCTTCAAGAAAACAGATCTGTGCCTGGCTGCACCAAACTGGTAACAAGCTCCTACGAATGCTATGACAGCCATTCAGAAGTTCATTTCTTTCCTATTTTTCAGGCTGGAGAATCTTATCGGCCTAAAACTAATGACTGATTCTATAGCCAACAAGCTGATACATGAATAAAAACAAATTAGCAAAAAAATACTGCAATCTATGCTAGAAAGAATAATCTGGAAAGCACCAATTGTACACTTCTTTGTTTTCAAATTCTAAAGTTGGCTTGAAGTAAAAAGCACGTGTCTTGTGTCCATCACTCTTTGATATCCGAAATTATAAGCCACACATTTCACGGCGTAAAAATGGAAGACATAACATACAAACTGCTGTTTTATTATTATTATGTCCTTTTATTTTGTTTCAAAAATAGTCTTTTGCTTGTATACAGAAGTCCAGAGAACCTTCTGCTAGACTGAGGACATTAGAGGAAGATTGGATTACATGACCAGTCACAGCTAGGAATAAAAAGGCATCTGAAGACTCGAGGTCTGGCTAACTCCCATTGTACCTGTTTGTAACAGCGATCTGAAGCACTCTGCCTGGAGTTTGCTGGAGAATAGTTTTGAATGAGGGGCTGCATTCATCGGGTTTTGTCTAAAAAGCAAAAGGCAGGAACCCTCCCTCACGGTCTGCATTTTAGTTTCACACTGATGTGTCAAACACATGACGAACTTGCTTCATTCATGGCTGCCTTTTGTGATCCGAGAAAAAAAAAAAAAGAGTTAACTGAACTGGATCAAATTAGCTTGGTGAAAACCAAGAATGTCTCTATTTAACGAAGTGTGGCGTTAATTTGGGATATCTTTCTTTTGGGACTGTTTCCTCATGTTAGACAAGATATAGAATAATACGGCCTGACTGCTCAACTGAGTGAGCTTCTGAAAGGTTAAAAAAGCAAAATCTTTCATTGCGCTGAATGACTTTCTGTGCAATAAGTTCTAGGACTCCCTTACACAGCAGCTGCTTAAAAGAAAAGTTCTGACTATGAAAAGTTACATTTGAAAATTAGAAATATAAATCACTAGCAATATGGATTAATCTTTTTTTCATCTAAAAACTCAGCAGTCACTTCTGTAACATTGTGGACGCTGTAACTGCAATTACAAAAGAGCACATCTGTGTATTTCACATGAAGTAATCTGAATATCCTTGCAAAAAAAAAAACCCAAAAAACTACTGAATGAAATATTCACCAATAAAAACCCCAACCCTACGAATACTCATATTTTAGAGAGATATGAAGAAATATACTGCTTCTCAGTGAGGCAGGAAGAAACAGGTGCTGGGATTGCATACAGCATGTTAAAGTCAGCCTGTCCAACCAACCAACGTGGGAGCTCTGCGGCCCCGCCGAGCCTCGCAGGGTTTCCTGCCAGCTCCTCCAGCTCGAGGTGAACGTGAGCCGTTGCAGACTCTCCCAGCTGCACCCATAACTCACTGTCCAAGAGCCCTGTAATACCTTGAAAGAGCATACTGTAAAATTATGAATGCATGCAGTTGGGGGAGTTGCAGATACTGTGTATTGAAATTAATGAGTAGGGTTTGTTCCTTTTGTTATTTTTTTTTTAATTCAAATTTCATCTCAACAATACATCCCTGATGTTATTGCTTGACTTGATCATTTGATTACTTACATAGATTACAGAAAACACACCTCCAGTACTACAGAACATGAACTGCACAAACGTGGTGCTCAGGGACATGATTTAGCGGAGGGCTGTTAGAGTTAGGGTAGTTTGGTTAGGCTGTGGATGGACTTGAGATAATCTTTAAGGTCTTTCCCAACCTAGGCAATTCTATGATTCTGTGATTCTTCCAGGAGCCCTTTTCTTGACTCCATAAGAGCACTCTGAATTTATCAATCTAAGCAACCATATAAAATCATGTCATTTTTTAACTGTGTTACAATCCCAGCACATAGCCTAGTTATAGGCCTGTCTCTGTTTTTTCCCCAGGGCTTGATAAATTGGCAAGAAACTTTTGCTATGGAAGAATAAAAATATGTTCACAGCTTGAGAAAAAAAATTCTTTTTGTTTTTAGAGAGCAGTTCACTGTAAAAGTGACTGTAAAAATCTGGCATCGCGGGATTTTATAATTACTGTTTCTCAATTATGCCCGAACTAAACTTGCTCAGTGTACAATTGAAAAGATGTTTCTTTTCTAACAAATACATTCTGCCAACTGCCCCTGAGAACTGAAGTCCAACTGGGTTTCTCTGGCTCATGCATCCTCATTAACACTGTATAACTCCCAGGTGTTACATCCGACCCTAGTGCCTGCTCACTGACTGTATCAGCCAACCTACACAAACTGGCTTGTCCTCTCCTCTTCCTGCTCACTGAGAAGAGTTTGTCCACCTTCCTACTACCATTTCCTTAATCAACTCAAGGAATCCAGTGACCTTCCGTCTGTTCTACTAATCCAAACAGGTTGGGAAACCTTTCTCCCTCCCTACTGTTGCCCATTACCACTCTCGTGTGCCTCTCGGTCATGTCTCAGGTCCCAAAAGCTCTGCGGATCTTCTCTTTCAGCTAATAAACTTTCATTCACTCTGAGAACCTTTAAGAAATTCAGGAACTAATACAAGGAGGTAAACCACATCAGCAAGCCTGAGGTTGGAAAAACAAACTGCACTGAGATCATAAGGTGGTTGACCAAGTGAGCCACTCAGCTTTTGCATACCCTCTAAGCAACCAGAGGTGAAACAGACTTACATGGTCTAGCACAGAAGTTAGTCATGCGCCCATTTCACTCATCTGGGAATCCAATTATTTTCCTTAAGAGTTCCTTCATATCAGATGTTTTCACCAAACTAAATCCTACCCATTTTTTTTTAATTACAATTGTTTCTTTACATTTTTCACTGAACAGTAAAAGCTCGTTAGAATTTCTGGGGTTTACTAGCTTGGATTTCAACTTTAGTACGTGAGATGAGAATGCTTCCCTGCTACCATGTTGCTGGGGGAATAAAAGCAATGAGAAATACATCTAGTATAAAATTATATTGGGGACAGACATTATAACTGATTCTGTACAGCGTTTTGGATGATGACTTCATTACTATAACAACTATATTGTTTTCTACTTTCTTGTCTTTTCCTTAGTTAAATGCATTTCATTAGAACAATAAGAAGCTCTCACACTTCTTTCCTAACACTGACTTTATGAGGCAGTTACATTCCTAGCTGATTATCTGCAGTCTGTGTAGAAATGTCAGTGTAGTGGAAACACACCAGAAATGGTGTGCAGGGAAGCAGCTCAGGTGCCAAGGTGAAGCACTACAGCACTGAGCACTGGGCTGGTAAATCACCATCTGAGTTACCTTTTTTTAAGATTGAATGTAGCTCAAGTATCACAAGCACCAGTTTACAACTGGAGTTTGTAATTTTGTCTCCTGAAGCTGAATGGTAGTTAAAAATTCAAACATTGGATCTTGTGGCTGCTTAAATATTTAGCTTCTAAATGCCTAGAAATTAAAACCATGCTTTAAAAAAATCTTTCCTATAACTGATTTAAACATTTTTAGTGCCTGAACCATTTACTCTGACAACATAATGAATGGGAGTCAGATTCCACTATGCTGCATGGAAGTCATATTTTCCTAAGGAGCAAAAGCTTTTTACTTATCTTTCATTCCTCACAGTAGTGATACGATCACTGTATTGTATGGTATTACAAATTAAAGCTAAGAAATTTACATTAACATTTAATATTCAAAATACTGAATATTCAAATAAAATACTTAATATTCAAAATACTGAAATTTTCTTTGTTAACTTGACATACTGAGAAAATATCCAGTGTACTAACTTGCTCTTTAATAGAAGCAATACCTGTACAGGTAATGAGCAAAGCTGTACCATGATCATTTTCCATTAGAGTCCAAGAATTCTTTCCCTTCCTAATTCTTGGTCTTTGCACTTACGATTCTTATTATATTGCTTATGATTTTTTCTTTGGATTATCACAACACACACCAGAAACTTGAAATATTAGGATGCAGTTTAAG